ACGGAAAATGTCTTGCTTATTAAATGAAATTCAGGAATTTTCTATCGAAAAAACTAGATTGTTGGTGGATTTTCAGTAAAACTCCGATTTTCTCCAGAAAATTCGTGCTAAAAATCGAATTTTCCGCCAAAATCCACCAATATTCACCACTCTAAACTCACTGCTAACAATAGTACTCGGCGCCAGACTGGCATCCGAATAGGGCGTCGCATCGAAATCCGCACTCCGTCTTCGCCGCTGAAACGTCAACTTTTTCAAATTGTGGCAACTATTCTCTGAGTGAAAATTCCTACTTTATCCAACGCAGCTCTTTGCGGTCGTGTCATTGTGCCAGTGTTCCGTGGGAGGGTCCCATACCCGGGGGTGCTCACAAGGAAAACCTCGTAGAACCCGTTTTGAGACTTTCGCAAACGATCCGAATCGGAGATTAATTCCACTTTTACCTCGCTAAAAATCGATAATTCTAGTAGTTTCGGCGGATTTTTTTTGAATTACCGCTGAATATCCGGATCCAACTCTTTCCCGTAGTATTTGTAGCCCCGTTTTGTGAACGAATTTTTAAAATTGCCGAGGGTCGCCACGCCCTCCCGCGTATCAATTACAGACACATATGGGGTGGTTTCGTCGTCAAGATAGTAGAATACTTTTATCTGGTGGGTATCTGATGTGCATGGTGCATCCATATGGGTTAGTAAGGCTAAAAAATTGATTTTTCCTGTTGATTTTCAAGATTTTCATTCAATTTTAACGAAAAATCGATAAAAATCCAAAAAATTTGATTGAAAAACAAAAATAATTAGTGTAAATCTGTTAATTAGCCCCGGAAGAAGCCATAATTTTTTAATTTATCGGCAATAAAAATCCGGCAGCGGCAGAGCGGAGAAAGTGCGCTCCACCGCACGCCGGGTCTCGACACGATTTGACGGGGTTTGCGTGACGAAATACGGTGAGCGTAGAGAAACTTCTCCACTAAATTTCAATTTTATTCAAACGCAGAGCTTCTGGAATTCTTCGCGGTTTTTAAGGATTTTCTGAAAAAAATTAGATTTTTAAAAAGAAAAATGCTCAGAATTTCAAAAAATCGATAAATAATTCGCGTTTTGGCCTTGTTTTTCTGAGAATTTTCCGTCTGAACTTCGAATTTTCCGGATTTTTGTCTTGGTTTTTAGCAATTTCAAAACAAAATCTGTGGATAAATCGCCATGAAAAACGTGATTATTTCATGTTTTTCTGGATTTTTCTCCTGAATTTTTTTTATAATTTCGAGAATTTTTTCTCTGAAAAGTGGAGCAAACAACTATAAATTTTGAATTTTTCCGCTTGAAGCTTCAGTTTCGCCGTTTGAACACCAATTTTTCACGAAAAATTTTCGGAAAATCGATTTTTGCCTGAATTTCGATTTTTTTGGATTTTTTCGATGAGAATTCGTTTTTCAACGGTTTCAAAGCAATCTGCGCATAGAAAATTCGATTTCCTTCATTTTCATTAGTTTTACAAGCAAAATTTCACAGAGTTTCATCGAAAAATCGATATTCGCCGAAATTTCGGATTTTTTCGTTCGAAATTCGTTCCTTCCTGTCAGCATCCCCTCAATTTCCAATTTCCAGGTAATGGCATCCGCTGGAGAATCGATTTTGGCCCTCACCGGCAGAAGAACTACCGGACAAAGCATCAGATCTCAAAATGGTATTTTTTTCCCCTAACCGTCCCATTTAAACCCCTAAATTTCCAGTCACCGCCGCCGTGGCCATCGCAAACATCGTGAAATCATCACTCGGGCCAGTCGGACTCGACAAGATGCTCGTCGACGACGTCGGCGACGTCATCGTCACCAACGACGGTGCCACCATTCTGAAGCAGCTGGAGGTTGAGCATCCAGCCGGAAAAGTGCTCGTGGAGCTCGCCCAACTTCAAGACGAGGAGGTCGGCGATGGTACCACCTCTGTGGTCATCGTGGCCGCTGAGCTGTTGAAGAGAGCCGATGAGCTTGTCAAGCAAAAGGTTCACCCAACAACTATCATCAATGGATACCGTTTGGCGTGCAAGGAGGCCGTTAAGTACATCAGTGAGAACATCTCGTTCACCTCTGACTCCATCGGTCGTCAATCCATCGTCAACGCCGCCAAGACCTCCATGAGCAGTAAAATTATTGGACCGTTAGTAGATTTTCTATCGATTTTAAGCCATTTTTTTGTTTTTAGAGACGCCGACTTCTTCGGAGAGCTCGTCGTCGACGCCGCCGAGGCTGTGAAAGTGGAGGCTAATGGAAAGATCACCTACCCGATCAACGCCGTCAATGTCCTGAAAGCCCATGGAAAGAGTGCTCGCGAATCCGTCCTTGTCAAGGGATACGCTCTCAATTGCACTGTCGCCAGTCAGGCGATGCCGCTGCGCGTGCAGAACGCCAAGATCGCTTGCCTCGATTTCTCGTTGATGAAGGCGAAGATGCACTTGGGTATCTCGGTTGTGGTGGAGGATCCGGCAAAGTTGGAGGCCATTCGCAGAGAGTAAGTGGATAAAATTCGTGAAAAATAGGTAAAATGATCCAGAATTCGTCTCTGGAGAGTTCTAGCACGCAAAGTTCGCTTTGGAGACCTGTTTTCACCTCTAAGATCCATTTTTCATTTTGCTTTTTTTTTTGCGATGAGCGGACCTCCAGAGCCCAAGAATTTGTTCTGGCTTTCTAGCGCCCTGTCAGGCTGCGGAATTGCTTAAAAATGCTTTTTTTTTAGCCCGTTTCAGGTCATTTTTGCGATGTGCCGGTCTTCAGAGCACTAGAATTTGGCCCGGCCATTCTAGTGCTCCATGACATCCTCAAAAGCCAATTTTTAACTAAAAACCCCATTTTCCAGGCCGCTCTTTCGCTATAATTGAGTAACCGCGCACCGCACTGCGTCAGAATGCCTCTATAGCCTCTTCCAGACCGTTTTTTGACCCTCTCCAGGCCATTTTTACGGTGCGCCGTCCTTCATAGCGCTAGAATTTTCCGTCAGGCCTCCCAGCGTTTGTTTAAGCCACCGCGCCATAAGAATCCCACAAATTGTGAGCTAAAATGAGCAAAAATGCGTTTTCGGACCCCATTTTTGCGGTGCGCCGGCCTCCAGAGCGCCAGGATTCAAGCACATGGCGACAGGCCTCCCTGCGCTTTTCTGGGCCCTCGCACCCCGAAAATTCCACAAATAATACGCCGAAACGCGTTTCTGAAGTCTCAAACCCCATTTTCCAAGCCATTTTTCCCGTCAAAATGCCATTTTCAACCCCTCCTAAACCTCATTTTTCAGGGAATTCGACATCACCAAACGACGCATCGAGAAGATCCTGAAGGCCGGTGCCACCGTCGTCCTCACCACCGGAGGAATCGACGATCTCTGCCTGAAACAGTTCGTCGAGGCTGGCGCGATGGCTGTCCGCCGCTGCAAGAAGTCCGATTTGAAGAGAATCGCCAAAGCCACGGGAGCCACTCTCACCGTCTCTCTCGCCACTTTGGAAGGAGACGAGGCGTTCGACGCGTCCCTCCTCGGACACGCCGATGAGGTCGTTCAGGAGAGAATCAGTGACGACGAGTTGATCCTCATTAAGGGACCAAAATCCCGTACGGCTAGCAGCATCATTCTCCGTGGTGCCAACGATGTGATGCTTGACGAGATGGAGAGATCGGTTCACGATTCGCTTTGCGTTGTTCGTCGTGTCCTCGAGAGCAAGAAACTGGTGGCTGGTGGTGGTGCCGTCGAGACGTCGCTCAGTCTTTTCCTGGAGACGTTCGCTCAGACTTTGTCGTCTCGCGAGCAGCTCGCCGTTGCCGAATTCGCATCGGCTCTTCTGGTGATTCCAAAGGTCCTTGCGAGCAACGCCGCCAGAGATTCCACCGATCTGGTCACCAAACTTCGTGCCTATCACTCGAAAGCTCAACTCATTCCACAACTTCAACACTTGAAATGGGCGGGACTTGATCTTGAAGCCGGAACCATACGCGATAATAAGGAGGCCGGAATTCTGGAGCCAGCACTCTCCAAGGTCAAATCTTTGAAGTTTGCGACGGAGGCCGCCATCACGATATTGCGCATCGACGACCTCATCAAGCTTGACAAACAGGAGCCAGCCGGTGGACATGATGAGTGCCACGCTTAAATTTTTTTCCCGCTTTTTTTCTATTTTTTTTTGTTTTTCCCCTTCATCTATTATACTGTTTTCCGCGTGCTTCTCACATAATACCGATCTGTGGCCTATCCCCAATTCAGCTTTTTGCCCCCACTCTTTTCTCAAAATATGATACTTTGACAATACTTTATTGAACGAAATTATTGATTGATTGTTTTGTTTTTTTGTATTATTCGTTTTTTTTTAAATCACATGAAGAAGAAGCTTTGTGCGGTTCAATCATCAGAATTACTCATCGTCGCCCAACGACGAGAAGTCACGATTCTTCGGATCGCTGTTGGCACGACGACGAAGACTCAATGGCGGGAGCCGGACCCCGTTGGCAGTGCTCACCGCATTCGGGAGCACCGACTTGTCCTTGGATCCCCAGCGGAAGAGCCCAGTGGACGATGGAGCCGGTTGCTCCATTGGTGGAGAGTCTTGGGAAGAGTGTTGTGGCAGCTTCAGATGGTCCTCCTGGAATAAAAAAATCGATAATCGTGAACCTGGATCCCAAGCTCCCGGTGGATACCTCAGAATGAATCGAAGACTGATAGTTGAGCGGCTTGGAGGCGGAGACCGACGAGGAGCGGGTGGCCGGTGAGCTGGCGCGTTGTTGTTGCTCACGATCGGTATGAACGATGGAGAGCGATTTGGTGTGGAGTGGGGGCTGGAAAAAAAAGAAAAAATGATTCGACCCCAAGGGGGATTGAACCCGGGACCTCTAGATTCAAATACAAAAGCGTTACCAGGTAGGCCACCCGAGTCACAAACGCATAGGCGGCGGAGGGTGGTCAAGAAAGTTCAGAGCGCTGCGACTTCTCGCAAGCTCTTATAGGGCCCGCACACCTCTTAGCAATGACGCAGTAATGGCTCAGTGGTAACCGTTTTGACTTTCACCCAGAAGGTCAAGGGTTCGATTCCACGTGGTGGCAAATCTTTTTTGCTTTTTTTTGCGAATGGTTTTTTGTTGGTTTTGACCTACCTTCTTCCCGAAAATGCTTCGAATACGCTCGCCGACACTTGACAGCACGCCATGATCCGCCGGGGGAGCGGTGAGCTGGGGAGTGGTGGGCTCCGAGGATTCAAGGGATCCGGACTCCACGGAACATGTACGTTGATGAGACATCAAACGAGAATGAGCCGATGAGGACCGTTTCACCATTCTTAGGTACTCTTTTCCCGATTGGGCAGCGGTGTTTCGTGCCAAACTGTTTGTGAGTTTCTCGCGGCTTAGTTTTTTGGTCACCACACCGTGACCGGAGGCTGAGGAGGATTGGCGGACGAGCTGGAAATGTGGGGAATTTTAGGAGGGAGGAAGTTTTGGAGAGGTCTACTGAGTTTTTTGACCTTGGACGGCTCAATTTTGGAGAACCTGGGCATTTCAATAGACAGATTTGTAGAGCGAAAGAGCTCCATCGTAGAGCTCCATCGTAGAGCTCGTAGAGCTCCATGTAGAGCTCCATCGAATGATTTAAATATCATATAGGGTTGTATCAGAAAATTTGGGTCAAAAACTCGAAAAAAAACCGGAAAATCCCGATTTTCAGTATCAATTTTCAGATTTTTTTTTGAGTTTTTGACTCGAATTTTCTGAAACAACCCAGTATGATATTTATACCAATCAATAAAGCAAAAAATTCTCTATCAAATGGTGTACATATAATATAAGGTTGATCCAGAAAATGCAGGTCAAAAATCTGAGAAACTCAGAAAATCACGATTTTTAGATATGATTTTTGATTTTTTGAGTTTTTGACGCTAATTTTCTGAAACAACCCCTATGATATTTATACCAATAGATAGAGGATTTTTTGCTCTACAAAAGATCTACAAAAAAAAGTATTTCCCAATCAATAAAATTTCAAAAAAATTAGTGGGTTCTAGAACAAAAACTCTGTCACCCCGAAAATTACAAAACTAAATTTTTTTCGACGCATTGTAGCCCAGATCGAAACAAACAAAATGAGCTAAAAACCAGGTTTTTAGGTCGATTTCAAAGCGAGTTAAGGCGCAAAGCGAGAGAGTGAGAGACGCAGAGAACCTCGATTGTCTAGCTGTCTGCGTATATCGCTTTCTCAGTTAGCCACCAAATGGTCCAAAAACCAGACTTAAAAGCTTCATTTTGAAGCGAGTTATGCCTCTAGGGAGAGAGTGAGAGACGACAGAGAAAACGACTGTCTGTTTCTCTGCCGTCTCTCACTCTCTCATCTCCAACTTTGAACACGCATAACTCCCTTCAAAATAGAGATATCGAGCTGTTTTTGGATGATTTTGTAGTGAATTTCAAGGCGTATCCGGTAGTGTGGTGATGGCCTAGTTTTCAAAAAATCTGAATAATTTAGGGCACCAGACATTTTAAACTTCTGAATGGAGAAACTCAAAAAATAGTTCCTGGTTGCCTAAAAAGCCGTTTCTAGGCTATCAAAAACAAGAAAAAGTAGTCAACTGGTATTATCAATTCCCCCAACAAGTATTATATACGAACACACCAATCGTACCGGGAATACTCGTCTACCGGAAATTAATCTATTCGTTATTACCTCCTTCACATAGTTATCATCAAACTGCTCGACAGCCTTCGAGCTACCACCGCCCAATGTGAACGACACATCCTCGTCGGTGATGGGGGCGGAGTCATGACGACGTTGTTCCGACTGAGAGCGGGGCTGGAAATCAATCGGTTAGAGGAGATTGTTGCGGGCAGGGCCGGGCCTCCGGCCTTACAGGGACAGGCACATTTCGGAATTTTTCATGGGCCGGGCTTCCGGGCCTTATAGGGCCGGCTCAATTTGGCGAAGTATTATCAGAGTTTCAAAAAAGGAAGGGATTTCAAAAATGGATAAAGATGGGAGCCTTAAAGGCGCATGGACTTTTCTAGATAATCTGGAAGTTTGAAATTGAAACATGACCTTCTAGAAACTGAGAAAAGTTGCATTAAAGGCGCACAGTGGGTCTCACCACGACTAGGAGAACCTACCCGAATCTTTGCGTACTCCTTGGCGACTCTTGTGATCAGTATGGCACATGTCTCACTTCCAGCTCGGATCGCCATGTCGACACAGTTCAGGTGCTCCTTGTTGCGCATGTCGATTACCTGGAATATGGAAACTTGTAATAGAAGAGCACGGATTTCTTGTGGAGATCTAACTTCATCGCATGCGCCTTTAAGGCGAGCTCGATCTTATTCGAACCGGCTTGACGTTTTCGTGTCGATACCCGAAGTTTCAAATTTTTCCAAATCTAGTCATGACTATACTCATTTGAACCGGCTTGACTTGCTGATTTTAATGATCCAGGTTTCGCAGAGATAGCATCAAAATTGACTGAGTTACGGTAGTTTTTGTGTTTCTGTGTCGAGACCCGAATATTCAAATTCTCCAATCCTAGTCATGATTATGCTCATGTGAACCGTCTTGATGTGTTGATTCCGATGGTCCAGGTTTCAAAGCGATAAGATCAAAATTGACTGAGCTATTGTAGTTTTAGTGTTTTCGCGTCGAGACCCAAAACTAAAAGTTAATTAGGAACCTAGCCATGATTATATTCATTCAAACCTGCTTGACTTGCTGATTCCAATGAACCGAGTTTCATAGCGACAGGATCAAAATTGACTGAGCTACGGTATTTTTTGTGTTTTCGTGTCGAGACCCAAAATCCGAAAAAAAATTGGGAGCCTAGTCATGATTATACTCATTCGAACTGCCTTGATATGCTGATTCTAACAGTCTAGGTTTTATAGCGATAATATCGAAACTTACAGAGTTACGGTAAATTTTTGGTTTTCGTGTCGAGACCCAAAATTAAAAACTTTTGGGAACCTAGCCTTGATTATACTCATTCGAACCGGCTTGACTTGCTGATCCTAACGGACTAGGTTTCATAGCAATTGGATCAAAATTGACAGAGCTACGGTATTTTTTGTGTTTTCGTGGTGAGACCCGGATTCGGTTCTATGACCACCGGAACTAACTGGGATACGGTACATTTTAGACTTTAAGTCCTAATGTCCGGGGCTGCACCTTTAAGGTCGTCAAAAGCCACCGTATAACGCATCCCTGTCCTTCCTACCATGCCCAATATTTTCCACTTAGCGATTTGAGCGTCTCTCACATTTCCCATACGATCAAATTCCCCAAATGTTTCAAAAATAACTTCTAGATCTAGCTCTGACGTCCCCAAATCGAAACACGCTTCAAATCCCATAATTCATATGCTTAACTGACTATGCTCCCAAGTGACCATCTAATTAGAAGAAGAGTAAGTAGTGCATAACGAGTAAAAAAGACCATTTGACTTTTGATCAAAAATCAAGAGACCAAAGTTCAGGGACCACTGGCAAGTTGCCCTCAAGAACGGCAACTTGCCCATCCCTTGCCCCTTTGCCCTCCTCTTGCCACTTTATCCCGATAGAACCATAGTAGCTTATCCTACATCAACCATCGGCAATTTTCCTACTGCAAGAACGGCAACTTGCCTTTTACTTGCCCCGACCGCAGTTCCCAAAACTAAGGGCAAGTTGCCCTTCCCTTGCCCATTTGCCCACCCCTTGCCCACCCTTTGCCCTCCCCTTGCCCCTTACCTGCCACAACTTGCCACTATTCACAGCCATATGCAGGATCCCTTTGACCTGTTGTACACGATTCTCGGCCGCCGCCAACATCAGAGCCGAATTTCCGTGCTCATCTTGCCACAGGATGTCCATGAAGGCCTAAAAGGGGTGCCACTATATTAGAGGACATTTTTGAGCCCCTGTACAAGACCAGGTAGGCGTGTCTATGCTAGATTTTGACCTACCGTAGTGCAGAGAGCCGGATCCTCAAACGGATCCTGTAGATCCAGGTCCTCGCCTCCCGAGGAGTTTTTGAGCTCCTCTCCGATTTTGTTGAATATGTCGTTGTGGTTCATCTGGAAAATTAAGGAAAAACTACGGTTTTCGGGATGATGGGAGAAAACGAGAAAGAGAGAGAGAGCGTAGGGAAGCCAGACATCCTAGCTTCTCTGCGTCTCCCTTTCAGAACGTCGTGAGTGAAGAGAGGGAAAAAAAAGAGAGAGAGAGAGCGAGAGGGAGTGGGGGAGAGAGAGAGAAGGAGAGCGCGCAGAGAAACTAGATAGCCTAGCTTCTCTGCGTCTCTTTACGAGATGATAGAGAAAAAGAGAAAGAAAAAAGAGGGAGAGAGCGCAGAGAAGCTAGACAGTTTAGCTTCTCTGCGTCTCTCCCCAGAAAGGGAGGGGGAGAGAGAGAAAGGAGAGAGAGAGAAAGAGTGCAGAGAAGTTAGACTGTCTGGCTTTTCTGCGTCTCCTCCCTAATAGTCTGGCTTCTCTGCGCTCTCTCATAGAGGACGTGGAAAAGAGATAGGATAGAGACGCAGAGATTCCAGGCACTCTAACTTCTCTGCGTCTCTTCTCTAACATTCTAGCTTCTCTGCGTCTTGTGGATAAGAATGGGGGCCACGGAGAGAGCGCAGGGAGGCCAGACAGCCTAGCTGTCTGCGGCTCAACTTTGAAAAAGCGAGAGAGAAGGGATAGAGAGCACCGAGAGAACCTAGACAAGCTTTTCTAGCTTCTCTGGACGCTCGAGGGAAAAGAGAAAAAAAGAGAGACAGCAGAGAGACAGACAGTCGTTTTGTCTGCGTCCCTCTCTTTCTCCACCCCACTTTGAAAGCTCATAAATCGCTTCAAAATCGAGCTTTCAAGCTGGCTCGTGGACTATTTCGTAGCTGATTAAGAGAGCGAGAGCCCAGACAACTAAACAATCTGGCTTCTCTGCGTCTCTCATTCTCTCGCTTTGCCATAACTCGCTTCAAAATAGTCCTAGGAACCGGGTTTTTTTTAGCTGATTTTCATTTTTTCCACCTGCCCAGTAGGGCTTAAAGGAGGGGGGAACTCAAAAAAATATTTTCTCTAAAATTACAAATATAAATACCTCTAGTGG